TATCTTTCTTGCACTGGAGAGCCCAGATTTCAAAACAGCACTCCAGATGTCTCATCAGTGCTGAGTAGAGGGGAAGGATTGCTTCCTCCAACCTTCTGGTTGCACTCTTACTAATACAGGCCAGGATGCCCTTGGTCTTCTTTGCTGCAAGGACACACGGCTGACTCATGTTCAACTTGTTGTCCACCAGGCCCCAGGTCTCTTTCTAGCCTGTCCTGTTGCATGGGATTATTCCATCCTGGGTGCAGGACTTGCGTTTGCCTTTGTTGTTGAAGTTCATGAGGTCCTCTCAGCCCATTTCTCCAACCTGTTAAGGTCCCTCTGAATAGCAGCCCTGCCCTTCAGTGTGTTGACCACTCCCCCAGTTCCGTATCATCCACCAACTTTCTGAAAGTGCACTTCTTCCCATCATCCAGGTCATTAGTAAAGACATCAACTGGTGTTGGCCCTGGATCCTAACTGAAGGATGCCCTGCCTTGTCATTCACTTATCCAGTCTATCTCTCACCAGTGTGGCCGTAAAGATACTATGGAAGACTGCGTCAAAAGCCTTGCGAAATTCAAGATGAACAATATCCATGTTCTTCCCTTATCCACAGAGCAAGTCATATCATTGTAGAAAGCAATCATGTTAGTCAGGCATGATTTGTCCTTGCTAGGTTGATGCTGGCTGTTCAGAATCATCTTCTTGTCTTTCATGTACTTGGAAATGGCTTCCAGGATGATTTGATGCATAAACTTCCTGGGGTCTGATAGGGGGCTGGCTGGCTTGAATTCCCTAGACCCCTCTCTTGCCTGTCTTGAGCACGGGTGTGATGTTTGCCTTTTTCCAGTCATCAGGAACCCTCCTCTGCATTCATAACTTATCAAAGATTACAGAGCGTGACTTCACTAAGACATATATTACTTTATGACCTTCAGATGTGTCTCATCTTGTGCCATATACCTGTGTAGGTCTGTTTTGCTTTACACTGTATCTAAGTTCCTAAACATTATTCCGGATTTTCATTCAAATTGACCCAAGCTGACAAAGTGAACAACAAAGATTCCAAGATTTGCCTGATTTTCAGTAAAACTTGTAAAATCACATCCTGCTTTTTTGATCATAGAGACGACATACCTGTCTTTAAGGAAAATTTTAGATGGCCTTATGAAATATTGGGCCACTTGCAAAAACCAGATTTGAATAGAGTCTTACGTTTTGAATATTTAGATTTTGTCTATTTCATTTTAAAAAGTAGAAATTTAGGTTTTCAGAAAAATTCCCACACCATGAAAAATATGTTCAGAATTTCAGGCATTTAATAGTATTCAAAGCCAAATAAATCCTGTCTGATGTCAGTTTTATTTCTAAGAAATTGACCAAGCTGTATTGCCACACAATAGAGATTCTAGTTTAGTTCAAAAACTTCAGGTCTAGGACCTGAAGGACTTATCTGTCACTGCAGACACTGAAGTGACTTAATAAAGGACTGAATACTCATGTGTATTCCGTGATAACTTACTGAGTATTCTTGATATAATGCTGAAGGACTGACTCCTCAAGCTTGTGCTTTCTAATAGGATATATTAATATGCAAAAAACGGTGTATATCCCATAGTACAAATGGAATTAAAGCGGTTAAAAAGATAAATATATTAATTTAGTAAAACATAGGTGGATCATTTTGGTAATGATTTTGATTACCTTTTATCTATAGATTCAAGGAACCAATATCTGAAAGATTGTTCCAGAATTAAAATCTTACTGTGGAAAAACACAGTAAAAGTTGTCCATATTGCTTTGTACATATAGATGTCCTTTTCTTTAGATCTGTTTCTGTCTCATTTTTCTGGTGGGAATTCAATAAGGATGTAAGTAGGCTGCAAGCATCATTTTAAATTCACGGTGTAGTCTAACAGCTTTGAATGATGAGCTTTATCATAATTCAGAATAAATCAAATATCAAGTTTCTCAACACTGCTTTGTTTTTTCCCGTTCTCTTTCTGCTCCTTCATCAGAATAAGACACATCAGAAGCATATGCCAAAAAAGCCTGAATCGAAAAAAAAAAAGACTAATAGATATGATGAGGCAAAACCAGAGGAGAATGGTCCACAGGATCAACATCACCCATAAAGACCTGATCCAGATTTCAAACACTCATTCTGTCCCTTCCATACAAGTATAGCATCTCCAGAATGATGGCTTGGAAATAAGTCATTTGCTTCTACTCTTTGTTTGAGATGTAAAACTTAAATTTGGATTTCAAATATATACTAAAGTGTGATAGTGGTGAGATGAAGAACGGGTTGAAGTCATTTCTAATACAAACATAAGAGGTGGTGCACTTTAGGTTATGTTGCATATAGGCTTCAGCAGTTCTATTTGATGTAACTTGAGATACCTCTTTCCCACGTCCTGCTCTTCACATTTGCTTTCTTTTACCAGTTTTTTTCTCATGACCTTGAATTTAAGGAATTTCATCAGTACATCTCTGTGATTATCCAAAATATTAGTGGTACTCTCAGATGTCCTCTTGCTCACTTGGATCTTCATTCTGTTAGAGCTGGTCATGTATTTAGTCAGAGTCACCAGAAAAGTTGAAGGGTATTTATCGTTTTCAGTTTGTTTTACTAAATCTCTGTGAAAATAAGAAAAGCTGGCTTATTTCCCTCTATTTATACATAGAAATAACTCTTGTTCACTGAATGACCCTTACCCTACAGATTCAGTCATCCATGCCATGGGAAAAAAAAAATGTTGTGTCTATTCATTTTCACTGGATGTCATCCAGAAAGCAGAAGTATTACTGCTTAAGTAATGTTCATCTCTTGGTGATGAACTGCCATAAAGGACTCTTCGTGTGCCATAGTAAATCTGCTGAAACTTTTTCCCTTCTCTGAAACATAAAATCATTCAATATTTTGGCCCATGAAGGCACACACACATTCACGTGCAGATAGAAATGTCAGCGTTGCAATTTATGGAAGAATTCTTCAAACAGTAGTGTCAACATCTAAACCTATAAAAAAATACCCTTCCCAGGGGAATTAATGAAAATCAGAGCTATATTGCTTAAACAGTTGGTTCAGATCCTGCAAGTCTTACTCACCTAAATGGTCTGTACTCATGAAAAATGGCCCTTTAATTTTTTGGTTACACAGGTGAGCAAGAACTTCATCTGAAGATAAGGAGTTGCAGAATCAGCTACAATTTTAGAAAGCTGTCTCCTAAGAACATATCAGTCTATTTGTTAGCTGTGCTTGCTAGCAGTTATATAGAAATACATTTGCATATTAATTACATTGTCTGTATGATGTTAGTATATAGTATATACATACACATGATATAAAACAATTTAAAATATATCTAATAAAGTATGTGTGTGTATGTATATGGATGGGGATGTTCTGTCCTGTGGTGTTAATGCATGCTTCTCTGTCCCACAGCCCCTTGCTTTCAGTTTCAGTGCCAGCAGTATATTCCAAAGGTTTGTGCCGGTACAAAAGAAAAAAACAATTAAACTGTTTTTCCTTCTTTTTAAGCAATGATGTCCCCCCAGAGAGCCAGCATAAGTTCACCTTAAGTGCCTTAGCAGAGGTTACATTGAAATAAAAATACATAAGAAGTAGTCATTTTAAAGATAAAGCCTTTCCTGTTCTGTGTAAATTATTTTTGATCAACATCCTGTTCTAAGGCACTTCCTCATTAGCATATCCTATAGCTTATTGTCAGACCCTGTCCACCGACTACAATTGTGACACAGACTGTGAATATTTAGCACTAGAGTCTGTAAATCTGAGTAAGTAATGACAAAGCCTCTTTAGGGAGAGTCAGAAGGAGGTGAGCTGAGCAGAATAATGGCAGTCCTGCAGAGGGAAGTATTTTAATTTAAGCAGAGCTACAGCAACTGGAAGAGATTATTAAAAGGACTTACTCTCTGAAACAAATCCTTTTTCAGGTAAATGCACAGTTCAAACTGGCATGCTAAATTGGCTAAATTGGCATCCTTATATCCACTCTGAATCTAAGAATAATTAATCATTTCACTTGCCTTTTATGTATATGACAGATTTGTGTGTGTGTGCATGCCTGTGTATGTACATGTAAGGTGTGCACACGTGCACAAGCACGTAGCAGAAAATAATGGCAATGAGGGAAGGGGGTTTGCTTTTTTTATAGTGAAATTGAAGATTTTTTTTTAATGGAGTGATACCTAGTAGTCATTGCCCACTATTGTAAAAGCTAAGAAGTATGCAGCTTTCTCTTGCCTGTGTTTGCCCAGCGACCATTCTACATACTACAAGCACTGGGAAATTTCAATGACACAGCTTGGAATGGGTTCAGTGACCTCAATTATGCCCTCCCACCCACTCCAAACTCCTTTCAATTTGCAAAAAGCTTTAAGTGGACAAAACCCAGATGCCTTTTGCTTGTAGTTCAGTAAGAACAGATTGGGCATGTAGATTCTTGTCAAAGTGATGTATGTAGTTCATTTTCCATTAACTCTTTCTTAACTAAGGATTTTAAATTCTTGGTTCCAAGTCTAGCACTCTGCTCTGCTTTCTACTGTTTTTTAAAGTTCATTATGCCTGCAGCATCATTAAAAAAAATGAACCTTAAAAAGCCTTGGCTAGACACTGACAGATACAAAACAGACTGTATGCTCGGTTTTGCTTTTAAAGGCAATCACTTTTTTTTCTTTTTAAACATATTTCATATATAATAACCCATCCTCTTGTCTAAGACAGTTCAAAAGCACTGACTAAATATAATCGATACAAAAATGAGTTTTGGAGGAGAAAGAAATCATGGCTTGTGGAAATGATTTACTAGTCAAAACAAGTACACGGGCCCTGATGACCTTGAGACCTTGCTTGAGTTGGCTTGCTTAAACTTTGATTGCTTTTGTAATGTTGTAATACTGCCCCAAAGAGTTATGCCTCTCCCCTCCCCCAGAACATTTCATTACACTCCCTTTCTCCCTCTCTCTCTCTGTCTTTCTCTTCCATTCTGCAGAAACATGTGCTGTCAATAACGGAGGCTGTGATCGGACTTGCAAGGATACTGCGACAGGGGTACGGTGCAGTTGCCCAGTCGGATTTACTCTGCAGCCTGATGGGAAAACGTGCAAAGGTCAGCTTCTGTTTGCTTTGCAATGCATCATTTGCCTTCAGCAGTTGCAGTACAAGATGTAAATATTCAGATATTTAATCAATACTTCGAGTTAAGGCTATTACTGGCATAGTGATTGCAATTGAGTTCATTAGCTTTCTCCTTCCCTAGTTGTTCTGTATTTACTTATTTTAATCATTTTACTCTGTATTCATTAGAGGGTTTTATTACTGCAAAGAAATTAGATACAGAGGTCAAACTGTTTCAAACTGACCAGAGGTTGAAAAAAAAATCTTCAGGGCTGCAAAAAACCTTCAGGTTTCAGAGAACAGTGTGAGACCTTTGTAGAACTTGAGACATCTCATGGTATCTGAAGCTGTACTGTAAAAAAGCAATTGAAAAATCTTAACAAGAACTTTTTTACCTGCAGATGATCAATGAGTTATCATTAAGTGAGGCCAAGGAAAAGCTGCAGAGGTATTACTCCAAAAAAATTCACACAAGTAATTGTCCATATCTACCTATTCAAAACGTGAGAAGTAGCCAGTTATAAAGGAAAAACGAAACCTAGACCATTTTTCCATTTTCATAATGATTTCTTCTCAGCTCCCTGAAAGACATTTGGGAAGAGACATCCAAGAGGACATGGCCTATATATTGATGTCACAGAGAACACTTTATTGTCACTCAGTGATTTAGCATAAGTTGACCTAACTTGCTAAGGAACTGTTGGGACCATTTTCTTCAAAGTAACCAAAAACATCAGAATATCTCCAGCCCAGGGCTTGATGTTACTTAAAATAGTAAAACCCACAAAAATAAACAGAAAACGTGTGGTTTCCTCTTGCTCTGGGCTGAAAACTCCCAGTGCTTGGGCACTGTTAGTATTTATAGAAATAACAGTCCATTTGCATGTTTATTTGAAAATAAAACATTTAAACTGCTATTGCACACAATGTTAATAGTTAAGGGTAAGCATACATCAAAAATCAGTCATTTTAGTTCAAGTCACATAAAAATAATTCTTCATTTTTACAGTCAGATCAGCTAAGCCATAGCAGAGGAGTAACACTGATTGCACCGAGCACTTAAAAAGGAGGCATTTTAATACTATGAGGTACACCTAGACTTGATCATAATGTTTATTATTGAAACTACATCATGAAAATAAGTTTAATTCTAAATATAGGTTGCTTCCATTCAGAGGCTGGGCCATAGAGCTAACATGAAACAATATTTATATAATAATCAAGTCTATAATTAGGACTGCAGACAAAATGAAATATCCAACTGATCCACAAACCAAATACCCTAGTTCTAAAATCATTTGCATTTATTTTCTTTTCCCCTTTTTTATAAGGATAAAATAAAAGAAATAGAATCCATATTATTTGTGATGTTCCAGGTTCTTTTTTGCTTTCTTAAAATAAACAGCAATGGGAAATCCGCTTACTTTCTTGAACAGACCAACCAGGTCATTTCTTTTTAACTTTTATTGACATTTTAGAAAATACTCTTCATTATAAAACAGTAAAGTATATGCTTTGCATTTAGTTTAACTGAAAATGACAATTGTCTATTGTATTACACTGTGAGATTCCTAGGCTGGATTCTGCTTCCCTGAAGCCATCCCTGAAGCTTCTTCTGTAGATTACAAAGGCAGTCCTTAGTCAAAACTGTCCTCTAAGATTTACATCTTCTGGGTGTAAAAGGGAACATTTCCATGTAGTAACACTGGTACCTTCTCTGCTCCTCTTCCATTAGGTAGAGCCAGCAAAAGATTCAAGTGGGGGAGTTCAGTGTTCACAAATCCCTTTCTTTGTGTTGTATAGGAACTAAAAGAAAAGCGCAAACTTCTCCAGTTTTCTCCTTTGATTTTTTTCCTTTATTCTTCTCAAGTTGACTGGCCAGCATTTTCTTATATATGCAGTTCATTGTTCCATGTATCTGTAATAATTATGTCTGCATGGTAATAGAGATGGATTATCCATTGACTGCCCTTTAAAGCATCTTCAGGGACCATACAGCTAGCACACACTGGCTTTTGTAGGCAGTTTCCAAGTCTATCAAATACCACAGTGTCTCCAAGTGAGGTTTTTCGTAGAAGCATCATTTTGAGAGCAGCTATATTTCTAAATATGGGAGAAAGATATATCCCTACTTATGAAAGTAAAATACAGAGAACAGGGCATGCAAGAAAAGCTGAGAGAAATTGGAGGGATAATTAATGTATTAACTGAAAAATGCAATTGTGGGTTGAGTGAAATGATTAATATGTTTAGCTTGAAGTTAGCAAATAATGTTAACCAAAAAGAATGTTTTGATTGGAAAGTCTATGATTTTTAGTCCATTTTGGCATCTCCCTCCCTCTGGCTTTTTATATAGTACAGGTACTATTTGAAATTATGTAGTTGCTGGGATTCAAGGGCTTTAAATAAGACTCAGAGAAACATCTGAACTGTTGAATACTCCAAGGTGGACATTGTGCAATTTATTCATCTGTAATTTTAGAAATAGACAGTTTCAGCTCATTTGTAGCTGATTTCTTCAAAAGTGCACTTTTACCATACTGGTATGTTATGGAAACCTATTGCCACTTCACTACTTTTTATTGGTGAATCAGTTAAATTAAGGAACATATTTATTTTTAAATGAATGAAACAAAAATATGATTTTTTTAATGTAACAAAATTCCTAGATTGCTCTGGTCAAAAATCAAGACGAGTCTGTTAGGCATTGTGTATGCATATAAAAATAAAAAGAGTTTACTATCCAAAATGTTCACAGATTTTTTTAGTAGTTTGGAAGTTGTTTAATATAGAAGAAAACAAGTATGCACAAAAAAGAAAAGATGTTTTTACAAAGAAAGAGTATATGCAAACATGATTTATTTGACAAAACATGGTAAATAAATCCCTCTAGATGTCACTAATTGTTCCACACTTTGTTTGCAATACCATAATTCATATTCTGTAGCTCTATTGTAAAAGCTGGGATGGATTCAAATCACAAAGTATAAAACTGAGTCAGGACTGAAATTCTGGTGTTTCTGATGGACCTTTCCCAATACATGACAAAGGGGAAGGTGCAGGGAAACAAGTTAGAAGTAATGTAAGGGGCCGATCTTCAGCAGTTCTGCACACCGATCTCTTTCACAGGCTCTGTGGGAAGTGCGAGTTCACTGAACCTCAAAGAATCAGGTTCTTTTTGTTAATGCAGAGTGCAGTCTGTTTGCAAATTTCAATAAAACAGAAGAGTCTTATGGAGAATGTCCTAGCATGTGGAGTATGTAGACTGTTATAGAGGAAGATTGTTTTGGTTTCTATGGCCTAAACAGGATAGCTTGACAAATCTTTTTGTTTCTGATTCTTTCTCCCTTGTGCGATCTTGCACTGAAATAAGAAGAAAAGTGTTTTTTCTGTGGGGTAGTTAAAGGCACCTTCAGTTGTATTAACAGTGGCTGGGACACAGACTCGCTAAGTTTTTCCTGCTCCTCTTTGAAAGTCAGTCTCCAGCCCAAATCTTCTCTTAGCTGGGTTGCTGCACAGTGGAAAAATGCTCCTTATTTACCTTCACCTTTCTTATCAGCTGTAGACCACATCTCTTGAGAAGCCAAACCATGGAGATCTTCATCAGCTAACAGACGAGGAAACACATCCCAGACCAAAATTCTATGTTCCCCCCCTAATTAACATCATTTAATTTTTCCTACCGTTGTGCTAAGTTCATTTTATCCTGTTGATTGATTATTGTATTATGCATATCAAAACAAGTTCATTTCCTGAAATGCCTACCAAGTCATCCCTCGTAAATCAGCTAACACAGAGAGAAAGGGAGTGAGAGGATTAAATGACTTAGTGGCCCAGGATGCTTATCGCCTCCTACCGACTTTTCAATATCCATGATGTTGTGAATATCAGGGGTTCACTGGTCCCTAGCTCCCTTGTTAGTTGGTTTCTGTGCATCTTCCCTGCTAAGTACCCATTTCATGCAGTCAGCCATAATCTGCCCTCAGTGAAATAGTTCGTCTGTTTAGCATTTTAATTGTATCAAGTACAACTTATGTAACTGATAAAGCAGGAGACTCATTTGAGAAAAGCTTATGGGGATCAAGAGGAGTGAAGTCAGACGAGTTCAATTTTTGAAGACTGTTTAAATCCAGTTCCAGGTTGCATTAAACAATTTAGGACTTGATTGCATTGAGGCAGTTGCATAAGGATGGGGGGAAAGCTGGGCAAGGGGGCATTCTTCTTTCTAGGATTTACAGGAAAGAAGACTAGGAATGACTGTAAAAAATATCTGAGAGACAACAGGGGCTTGCTTTGTGGGTGCCCCAAGAAGTGAATTAGGGCAAGGGCCGCAGGCTTCTGGCAAGGTTTAAAATGTAGGACAGTGTAGCTGATGTGCTCCACCTCTGCCTCAGGGATTTAACAAAGAAGTGATGCCCCCTGAGGCACTTTTGTGCCCCAAAGTAATGCAACTTCCCACCACTATACACAAAGCCTGAGTAGCCTGAGTGCACAGGGTGCAGCCCACCCCAACTACTGACTCAAATGGCAAAGAAAATATAGTTTGTAAGCAGTAGAAGTCAAGCGTAAATGGATCTGAAAGACTGATGGAGCAAAAGCCACGTCTCAAATGTGTTCTGTAAAGTGCCACCAAACTTTGCCATGTCCCATAAATGTTTTGTAATAACAAGATGTGTGTTATTTTGTTTAACTAACGTCTTGTTTTGCATCATTTTCATAGGTAAGCTTGACAGCAGCGTTTTAGGGAGGTAGATTCTCAGCTGGGCTAAAATGTCATTGGTTTTTGTAGCAGTCTGATATTACATTGATAATGTGCCCCCAGCTGTGGCTGAATACGGCAGTGTTATTTCCCATATACAAATAGATCCTTGCCACTTTCAGGTGATCTTGTGGACATGTGTTTAGGAGACAGAAAGGTCCCTGCACGTCTACATCTGAAGAGGGGGCATTTTATTTACTGTGCTACACTAAGAGCCCTTCTTAGTCCTCTGG